ATCATGCCTGCTGTCAGTCTTTGCCTCTACCCTGGTCCCATATGTGCATTTGGCGTGTGAAAAGGAGCCTACACACATACAAGCTGTGCATAGCTTGCACCTATGCAATCAGGGACCTTACCAATGCAATCATTCCCCATCACATGAAGAACCTACAGGTTGGGTATCATTTGTATGCAGGTCTGCCAAATACACTTACAAGACGGGGCAGCAGCTGTGATACTACTCCCAAGTCTTGTATTGAGTTGACCACACAACTGGTACCCAAGTTCAATGAGATGATGCGGAAAGTTGTGGGAGGCAGGTTGCCGCTCTGTACAACATTGGGGAGAGGGGGGCCTGGACACACCTGGCACACCCCTTTCACACCCCTACAAGCACGACATTTATGTCCTCCCTTTTTCATTTGCAAAATTCAGGACGTCAGAGTTTGACAAGGTGTGGCATTTAAGAATAGATGCAGGAGTTCAAGTGAACAGCCTGACATTAATGGACTTTGCAGAGAATAAACAGAACGAAATCCAGTTGTACAAGAGATGGTTATGGTAGGTGGCCAAGTGCACTGGGTTATCTGCAGGGCAGGGAAAGAGAAGGCAGTGCCCCATAGACTGTAATGTTGGGACTCAGCTATAAAACAAGCAGCAGAAGTCAAGCAATTCTGAGTGTAACAAAAGCAAAGGGGCTTGACAAATAATACAGTTTGTAATAGAAAACAAGCAAGTTCTCTCAGGTCCAGGAGGATTATTGCAGGATCTACAGATCCAGCCACTGAAGAGAAAATCTTTTCACAAAGCCAGTGGCGGGAGCAGAGGCTTGAGAAACTTTTCTACAAGCTCCTGAAAGCAGGAAAACCACAGTCTAAGGAAACTTGGGAGAGGAAAAAAACTATATGCAAAAGGATTCAAGAAGTTGGAGGTCATGCTTATGCCAAAGCGATTTTAAAAAAACAACAACTAAAACTCTCAAAAAGCACAATGCAGGTACCTACAGGTGCCAACAGGCATAGTTCCCTTTGATGTAAATGTATCAGATTCTTAAATGCCACTATCTGCTGCAAAACAAATGGGTCAACTATTGAAGTTGTTTCTGAGCTTCTGGGTTCTGTGGATTCTGCCACCACAGGCTTTATGGCTGGAGGCAGGATCAGGCATTTGGCAGGGCCAGAGGGGCACATCTGCTGTAATGTACTAATTCATACCCCAGAGATGAAAGAGGACTGTCTTCTTGCAGAAGGGCCCACAACAACCTGGAGCTGGTTGTGGCAGATATTTCTGCAGAGGTCTGTATCATGGGGGTTCTGCTTCAGGATCCCTCCATGTCAGACTAATATCTAGTCTTTCCAAAACAATGGAGCAAACTCGTCTTTAACTGAGGATGCTCAGTTTTTGACATATCATCATGCAACATATGAGAAATACATGTGCATTTATAGTGCAATCACAATGCTCTGCCCCTATGGTTCCAGGGATGCCAACTAGTCTATGTTAGCTTTGCTCCTGTGCCTTTAAAGGTAGAATTATATGCAGGATTATATGCAGAAATTAACTTAACATATAATTAATAATTATATGCAGAAATTACCTGCTAACCCCCCCACCCAATATTAGGCTGCTGCTGAAGATTCGAGACTGGAATGAAGTTGGCAGCCCTCCTCCCCTTACCCTACCTCTCTCCCCAACATCTTGCTCATATCCCTAACTCAACATGTGACATTTGTGTCCCACACATTTAATAGATGAACCCTAATTGTAAACCCCATGGTCACAGCTGTGTGCAGACGTTTCAGGTTAAGAATGGACCTCTGGAACAAATTAAGTACCACTGTACAGAATCACGGGGAGAAATTCCCTGGAGTGAAGTTCACTGAATTCAATAGGACTTGCATCTTCTGAGTGGCCATGGTTAATACTGCATCATTAAGTGGTTAAAAGTAAAACCAGAGACAGGCAAGCGGTTGGGAGTTTCCAGTACCGCACCAAAAAACATGGGAGACCAGATCAATGTACATTAAGCGCTGCCCATTGACAGGTTTTCAACCCTGACCTTTGCCTTTCAAAACCCATTCAACAAGGTTTATTTAGGGCCTCTTTGTCAATCAATGCAGACATTAGCAGGATGCAAAAGAGCATGCCCCTGGTGGGAGGTATCCATAGTAACATGACACATTTATTCAGGAAAGGGCAAAGGGGGAACCTGTGTTTCCTCTCTCCAAAGCGCAAGGAGATGAAATGTGAACAAGTGGAATGATCAAACAATGCTGGTGGAGCATCAAGCCATGGTGATTCAGGCACTTCCTGCTCCAGAGCACCAAGGTAAACCTGTCAGTACCACAAGGTCTTGAGTTTTCATATCTGAAGGTCCACACATTTCCCCAGTTGCAGTTTTCTTTTTTTGTAGTGCCCATGTAGACACATGGATTTTTCATCCCTTTTGTAGACTAATCAGGAGGTGGATTTAAGAAAAAATCACACAAAATGGTGAATTTTCATGAGGACTTACAAAAATTGAACACTGATGTGAAAACGAGAGAAATGAAATTAAGTTTGTAGAAATGAGAAACTGTTAAAATCTGAAAGTGAATAAATTTGCTTACTTCTTAGCTATCTTCAAGAGAAATTATATAAAAGAGTGTCCACAGGGAAGTTTTTAGCATTCTACGTACTGTATTAGTTTAAAATTTGATGTAATGGCAGTGTGTGCAGAGATTCTTGCACATGTTTAAGGTTATCTGCTCTCTCCAACACCCCCGTCCTGTAGCACACACAAACAGGACCATTACAAATGGGCAGCCTTGTGCATGTGTGTGTATTTTCACTTGCAACAAGCTTCTCTCCAACTCTTAGCATGACACCAATTGACAGATCTATAGGAGGAACTGGGCATGGAGGAAGGTGAGTCTGTCTGTGAGTTGGAGTGTGTGTTACATTTTGAATTGCTGGAGCAACAGAAATACTTCCCACTTGTCTATATCTGTATCTGTATCTGCAAAGCCTACAAACTGTATGTATAGATCAACATCCGGAACAGCATTACTAGAGTCTGATCTTCGACAGCAGTGAACTATTTTGGATCTTAAGTTGCCTCTGTGTGGTGACTGAGAGCTGGGGACAACTTCAGCTACGGGTATTTCACCTCAGATTCCCAACAAGATCCTCAATAATGATTCACCATAGTTACTAGCTGCTGCTATATAAGGCTCCTAGTTATAAAATAAGGAGCTGTTTCCATTATGGCAGTAGTTCCTATTTCAGAAAGTCAGATGAAAACATTTGGAAACATGTTCTGCCAGGTATAGTTCTTAAGCACTCCTCTCCTTAAAGCAGGCACTGCTTGACCTTATTTGAGCCTGTCACAAAGAAAAGATAGTAGTTTCTCAAAATAAATACAACACTGGGTATTATTATTTTTACTTGTTTGTTATATTTGCTGCAGACTTGTGCACCTAAGAGACTGCTTCCCAGTCCAGTCCTAAATTGCTGAATCGGAGTTCTATTTTAATCCATGGGTTGTTGCCATGTTGAGCCAAGTGAATGAGAGACTAGCTTATGTTCATAAAATATGCTAACCGCCTTCTCTAGAACACAGTCAGTATGAGCAGGGTGAGACTAGGACATAACTTATTATTATTATTTTTTTGCACTTTAGCAATAAAGTTTTAATGGTCCTGCTATCTCTGACTTATCTCTTCCCCCTCCATGTCTCTCAGTGAGATTTGATGGCTGTTCCAGGCTCCACAACTATCCTTGGGCTGTCACTGGCACCCTCTGTCCATTGGTTCTTTGCCTGCCTATTTGACCTTGGCTCTTCCTTTGCTCTCTGATATTCCTGGGCAGCAAAGGCAAGCATGCCAAGGTCTGTCAAATGTTGTCTGCTACCTGGAAGATATTAGCGAATGTTGATGGTTGCCGCATGCCAGCAAGCAGATACTGTCAAATGTTGACAGCTGCATATCAGATACTGCACAGACATTGGTTGCTGCTGCAAAACTATTATATGCCGATGTCAAATAATAGCCTTCCCAACCCAGTGCTGTCAGAAAGGGTAATTCAGATAAGAAGACCCCAACAGTGGTCTGCCTAGCCCAATATCCTGTTCTCACAGTGGCCAAGCTGGCTAGCAGAATCTGAGTGCAACAGCACTCTTGCCTCCTGTAGTTTCCAGCAGCTGGTTTTCAGAAGCATACTTCCTCCAGCTGTGGAGGTAGAACATATTTATAATGGTTAGTAGCCTTTTTCTCCATAAATCTTCCTTTTGAAACCAGAGCAGGCTTATCTAGGATGTGACCAAATCTGATAGGGTCATAGAAACCTCATATCCATTTTCCACCTTTGTAAGCAAAAGGAACTGCCAACCCCAAGTTCCCAGGGTTTCAAGAAAAATTGGGGGAATAATTTGTTAAAATAATACATGGGGTGTTCCTGCAGCATGCTAAGGGTTAAGGCTTTGCGCGGCATGTAATGGCATTCCAACGTCTACTAATGAGTGGGAAGACCGTTATATTGTTCTGAGTTTGTTGTTGTTAACTGTGAGTTTATTTAGTTTAAATAAATACGACATTTGCAAAAAAAAACCTTCTTACATCTAGAGAATGACTGCTATCAGAATGCACTTAGGAAAAATGAAAGGTGGATTAATTTCAGCTCTGAATAAATACAGCATTTATTTTGATGGCTTGTGAATATGCTGCTTCATATACGAGTACTGTGATTTTTGGAGTAAATGGCGACAATGCACTAGACTTGGACCATAAGCAGCAATCATTCTCAGATGGCCAAATAATTTCTGTGTTTATTGTAGGTTGTATTTGAACTTGCATTGCTCATATGATTAGCAATCTCACTGATCTTCGCTTACATAGTCTATGGTGGATGCACAGAGGGAGAAAACGGAAGGTGAACTTGTTTTTAGTGGCTCCATTTGGGGTCCAGACCTGTTAGGAACATAGGAGCATAGGAATCTGCCTTATACCGTTGGGCCATTGGTTCATCTAGCTTAGTACATGGAGATGCCAGGGATTGAATTTGGGACCTTCGGCATGCAAAGCAGATGCTCTACCATTGAGCTATATCCTCATCCTATAGCTGTTATGACATCAGTTCACTATTAGATCCCCTATTTCTCTTCAAACATATCCTGAAAGGGGCTCTGTGAATCTGATTCTGTGCTTCAAACTTCAGCTGCCAGTGGATGAAGCCAGTTCCTTTGAGTAACCATTTAGTCAAGCCCAGCCTTTAAAGAAAACTTCTACTTGCAAGTGTGATCGGATGCAGAGACAGAATTCTTCCTCTTAATCACACTACTGCTCTCCTCGGTCTAAGGACCAGTTAGCTGTTCTTCACAATCTTCTCTTTTGATGATCTAAATCCATGACATAAAGTGATTGTTTCCTGATAATTAATGGGGACTTTTTGATCAGAAGATTTTACGCCTCTGTTGTCAAGGGTTGGTTAAGAACCAGGATGCACCCGGGCAAATGGAATGCATCCAGAGAGGGAGGTGAAATCCAAAACCAGAGGTTTAGGACACCATCCTAGTCTGAGACATATGCACACAGTGACCCTTAATAGACCCAGCTCCCAGCTGTTGATAAATGGTGGATTTCTGTTTATTTATTTTTCCTGCCTGTTGCAATACTGGCCAGGGAAACCTGTCCCACCAGTGCTGTGATTCCAGTTTCTCATTTATCCTTGGTTTCCAGCCTCTCAAGAAAGTCAACAGTAGTCAATGGAACAATAATGGGAGAGGAGGACCAGGATTAGTGGCAGGGCTTGTCTCTCACCAGAAGACATGTGACCCGGGGGCTGAGTGCTAGCTGCTAATTATTATTAACAAAAGCAACTTGGAGGGTGGAAGGAAATCTGATCTTCCTGTACTGTGGTTTCTAAGTGCTATTTTTGAGTACACGTACAGAAAATGTAACCCTTTAAGGGGTGAAGAAGAAAGGAAGGCTCCATTTTCACGCCCATTTCATTTTAGCCATTGTACCAGCAGGCTACAGAAAAGCTTTCCATTTTTGTCTATTTGCTTGCACCAAGTTTAGGTTACTTGGGCACACAGTGTAAACAGCTTCAGGATATAGGTAAGAGAAGCAATGCCCAGAAAACAAGGCTGGGATATAGACTAAGAGCTGGTTACACTGTGTAGGCACTTAAATACTGTTGATTGTATTCAACAAACTTTTACTCAGAGCAGACCCATTGAAATTAATGGAGTTAAGTTAATTGTGGCCATTCATTTTACTGGGTTTACTCTGAGCAAATGGACATGGGTGGCGCTTTGGGTTAAACCACAGAGCCTAGGGCTTGCCGATCAGAAGGTTGGCAGTTTGAATCGCCACGACAGGGTAAGCTCCTGTTGCTCGGTCCCTGCTCCAGCCAACCTAGCAGTTCAAAAGCACGTCAAAGTGCAAGTAGATAAATAGGTACCGCTCCAGCGGGAAGGTAAATGGTGTTTCCATGCACTGCTCTGGTTCGCCAGAAGCGGCTTAGTCATACTGGCCACATGACCCGGAAGCTGTACGCCGGCTCCCTCGGCCAATAAAGCGAGATGAGCACCGCAACTCCAGAGTCAGCCACAACTGGACCTAATGGTCAGGGGTCCCTTTACCTTTACTCTTAGCAAAAGTTGGTTGAATATGACCCTTTTTCTGTAAGTGTGTTGTTTTATTGTTTATTTTACTTATGAGCGTCTATTTTTTAATGTACATGCAGCTGGCTTTTATATTTTGTAAGCTGTTTCAAAGCCTATTTTGATATTGAGAGATATATAAATTAAAAACAAAAAACGCTTGGCAGGTAAATGTTGTCAGTCATTGTTCTCTAATGAGTACATCTGTATCATGGGGGGGACGACATTTGACCATCCAGCTGTTGTTGAGCTGCATTTCCCACCATCCCAGATGGGGCAGGCTGGCTGGGTTTATTGAGAACTGGAGGCTAATTCAAGAGACCTACATTGGATCAGAAATTTCATCCCAAATTCTTATAAGACTGAAACCTCAAAGCAGCCTTTGCCAGTTTGGTGTCCTTCCAGATTTTCTGGGCTACACCTCCCAGCAGTGCCAGTTCACACAGTTGTCCCGACTCTGGGACTGATAGGAGCTGTGGTCCAGAACATCTGGAAGTTACCAGATTGGCAAAGGCTGCATTAGAAACAGTGAGTAAGCCCAAGGCCCAAATGAATCCATTGTTGAATAGGGGTATTTATTTAAGCATTTCTGTCCCCTCCATCTAAGGCAAATGCATCACTCAGGGCGGTTTGCAACAAGTTTAAAACAACAATTTCACAAAATAGCAATATAGTTCCTGCTTTTCCAAGAGCAAATCCAGCATACTTGCCAAGGTTCCCATTGGCAGCCTAGTATTTTGTGCTGGTTTCAAATGTTATCAACACCTTTGGTTCCAAAGAAGCTAATAATCCAAAAGAATTTGGAAGAAAGTTCAGCAGCATTGAGTGAAAGAGTATTGTGTACACAGTGCCTGGCCATAATATACTTTATCTGTTCTCAGAGTTTAAAAAAACAAAACAGCTTTGAAATATACCAGCTGAAATGTCAACTGTCTTCCTCAAATGAGCTGTGATCATTCCTATCAACCAAGGATTTGTCTAGAAGTTCAATGACCTCGTGGAAGACCATATGCCAGACACAAGAAAGTCATAATAAGACCTTTATCCCCTAAGGCTGGGCTGGGCAATCTGTGGCCCTCCAGAGGTTTCTAGAGCCCAACTCTCATCAGCCCCAGCTTGCAAGGTCAGGATTGTGGGAGTTGTAGTGCAGCAACAGAAAAGCAATGACAAACCTAGACAGCATCTTAAAAAGCAAAGACATCACCTTGCCAACAAAGGTCCGTATAGTTAAAACTATGGTTTTCCCATTAGTGATGTATGGAAGTGAGAGCTGGACCATAAAGAAGGCTGATCGCCGAAGAATTGATACTTTTGAATTATGGTGCTGGAGGAGACTCTTAAGAGTCCCATGGACTGCAAGAAGATCAAACCTCTCTATTCTTAATGAAATCAGCCCTGAGTGCTCACTATTTATTAAATTGCTATCCATTGTATTTTAATTCTTCCCTTCCTCTCAATTTGAAGCCCACAAGCAACTGGGGTGCTTGGTAGAGCTAAGGATAGAGGAGAAAATAATTCATTCACATTTTAATAAGAATTTACCTAGTTCCTTTCTGAACCAATGAAAACTGAAGTGCATCTGCTCTTCAAAATTCACACTTCTTCAAATATTTTGAAGTCATTTTCCAGATAGTAAATGCATTTTAAAAGCATATATTAGGTGGACAAAAAATAATATTAGTAGAAAAGCACACCATTAGGCACACCGTTGGCCAACATTGCATACAAAAACGAGCGCATCAGGATGATTGTGCACCAATGAAAATGAACACAAACTTCCTTAAAAAAAAAAAGCTAGTTGATGCAGAACTGAACTTGAGACTCTAAAAATGAAGAACTTAGAAACAGCTAAACTGACAGATGTGTGCATCCCTAGGAGAACTGGATATAAATCAGACACTGAAAAAATAGATAAACTCAGGTGAAGGCTGCAATTTCGTGCATACTTACTTGGGCGTAGGCCCCATTGAGCATAGTGGGATTTACTTTGGAGCTGAAAAGTTTCTCTTACCTATTTACCTGTTTATCTCTCTGTTTATTTATTACAGTAGACAAATGAAGGAGTGGGACTGAAGTCTGTTGTGCAACAAAGGCCTCAGAATAAGGTTACAGTCATATGAGAAATGCAAATGAAGAGAGGGAGGTTGTTAAGGGAACTATAGCACAGACGACAGTACAAAGGATGAGACAAAGGAAAAGGTGGGAGAGGGGATGGAACAAAGTTGGAAATGCAAAAGCACAAAAAGAAAGAAGGCAGGCCACCCCCCCTCCCATGCTCATTATTTATCATCCTGCACTCGTACAATATAAGGGAAGAAAAAAATGCATTGGTGTGTGTGTGTGTGTGTGTGTGTGTGTGTGTGTGTGTAAACATACACACACACCATTTTTGTCCACTATTTTTATCTGCTGTTTAAAATGGAACATGGCAAAAATAAAATGAAAATCACAATATTCGTTTGCCAAGATCAATACAATTAGAGATTGGCTGAACTATTTTTAAAACAATAAATAAATAGTCCTCTTTGCTGGAGTCTTCCCTGCACTTCATTCCAGGGCCTTTTGTCCTTTCTGGTCTGAGTTTTTGATCCAAAAATACGCAAGGATCTGCCAAACCACTAAATGCAACCAACATAAAGTAGAATGGCAACTGAGCTGAGCGAGCTTGTATATGAGGGTGGTTTGACTTTATGTTTGTTTAAATCACATTTCAATTTCTCGAAGTATGGCTTGACAATATTTTAAGTTGAAATGCTGTTTTCCTAGGCTGACCGCACAGGTCACCAATGGGACTGTTTGTTTTACAGAGATAAGAAGAAACAATGAAATTAATTTATGTGTCAGGATGGCACAGACTGATTCGCACCATCTTATTTTAACAACCATGTAAAGTTGTGACATGTCCCTGTCCACACAGTGAGCCCCATAGCTGAGTACAGATTTGAACCCAGGTCTACATTATCACAGTGGTTCTCCAGTGTTACATGGTGAACAACACATCTCCCCCTCCCAGAAGTGTCCCTCTTCTCCCTCTGACCACTCACTGTTATCCCACCACCAATCAATCAGCTAGAAGAAGAAGCCCTTTATATTCCTTCCTCTCAAAAAAGACCCAATGGATAGCTTGGGTGAGAGGATTCCGTCCAGCTCTGGAAAGTTCTTTACTGAGAAGGAGGAAGTTCTGTGTGTCACCGCATTCAGCACTCACAAATCCACAGCACCTATTTATTAATGCAGGCGTTTGTCCAGTCCCAAGAACAGGCTTTCAGCCAAGTTTATCCCCCAAAAACCATCACCATGGGCCAAATGTATGACTAGAGATGAGAAGTGGAAATAATATAACACTGCTTTTCAGGGACCATTGTAGATTAGAAAATGTCCCATCCAGTTTGAACACAATTGCTCCATAAAACCTTCTTTAACTAATGCTGTAGGCAAACACA